ATAGACATACTTGTCCTTTTTCTTGTTCCTCCCGAAGTGTATCTTGAGCCTTTTTTTCTTCCTCAAAAATATTTTCAGGTAATGTAACTTTATTCATTTTCGCAGCTTTTTGAAGAATGTTTTCTGCGTGTTGGTATCTTCCCTGCTGCATCAACCATCGAACAGACTCGGGAACTAGCCTGTCAGACACAGCAGGGCAACATGATCAGTAATAGAAATATATATATAATATAATATGAGAAATGTTCATATATATATTTGTATTTGCTCGATTTGTAATATAGTAATGATAAAATTGATTGATAAATTCAATTCACACATCAAGAACCTTATCCATCGAGCAGGTTATAACAGAAATGGTTATAATTGTTACAAAAATATCCTAATTAGTTAAGATTCTACTGTTGTGAAGCTTTTCTACAGAATGTCTGTTAAAATATGTTCAATATGTTAAAATACGTATGAAGCAGAAGTTCTGTGTAAACTAGTTAAACACAGTCCAAACAAGCGAAACTCCCAAATTTCACATTAAATATATATTATATAAAATATATTATTGATGCTCCTTCAATTAGCTTAAATTATAAAATTATAAATTTTGTGACTGAAATTTAATGATATATCCTACTGAACGTGAGACATCGTAAGCAAAACAATCTGCTTCTTCTTCATACTTAAATATATGCCTTGCATTTGACTTTGAATCAGACTGTATGGCAAATGAAATGAAATGAAATGAAATGTAATTATCTACACTTCGCACAACTACTGTTCTAAGTCAACTATTTGCATGTCATCTGTTTTATGTTGTTTTTGGTGAATTTGTTTTGTGTGATTGTAGTGAACAAGATGATTACAATTGTGAATTCACTTCAATGACTATAAATATGAATATGGTTTGGATATGTTTTTATTTATACTCGAAAATAATTGATCTTTGAAACGACAATACTCACTCACTACTACTCACCAATAGTACGAGAAAAACGGAATGTAAAGAATTGCTATTAATAGCTCAAGCTGACGCCAGTTGCCGTTGACTGCTTTTGAGAAGACAGCTAACATCATGTATCCACATGCATAGAAAATGAGTATAACCATACCAGCAAGGTCACGCTTACCAGGTCCAACCAGCTCTAAACCTGCAAGTTTATTCAATTTGAAAGAAACAACACTGAGAGGTTATTGTTGTTCGTACATCATACGTCGTCAACAATTTTCTTTTTCTTGGCATCTATCAGCCCAATTGCTTTGATCCTTGGTATGTAAGTATCCTGGGTGGACCTCTGCCAGATTTATTCGTTTCTTGACGATACCTTCAATTCTCTATGTTTAACGAATAGTTTTCTAATGTTTAGTAAAGCATGATAATTTTATCTTCTTCATGAAACCTACCAGCCCAATTGCTTTGATACTTGTTATGTAGAGTATGAGATTTGTAACAAGATGATGACAACTGCAATTGCGATGGCAACAGCCAAATAAATGATCATGGGACGAATATGATGAATATTAGTAACCATGGCAATTAGTTAATATCACATCCAACAGAACATTATCAACTTTTGAGTGAGACATTATGCAAAGACAACAGAAGAGCTATTTCGACAGTTTGGTCGTTTGTACTATTTAAAGAATAATACTTACCGAGAACAAATGCAACGGTAAATAGTCCAACTGATAGAAACCCAATGAAAAACTGACCCACAGCAAACACAGCGTATACTGGAGCACATGCCGTGATGAATACAACGAGAATCAGCAATAATAAACAAGAGAAAAAACATGGTTTTCGACCAAATCTGAAAAAAAAATTAAATTACCAAAATGTCAAACATACACCCCAACAATTTTCGCAAAGAAGTTAAAATCATGACAGCGTTACCACCGTCA